ACACAGAAATTATACAAATATATTAGAGAACTAACCTGTCAACACTCATTTCATAAAGTGCTGCATTATTCTTTCCTTCATTCAATAAGTTGATTCATTACTGGCTCTGTGCAATGAAAGAAATGCTAATCTTAAAGGCAATGAAATCTTCAAATACACCTCTCCACACCACGTGGTGCTGACAGCTTTGGGTACATCACATGATGACAGATTTTCCAGCTATAAGTTAAGTCAGGTACTATGACAGTAAAACACTCCATGCAAAAAATGAACAAAGTATATTATACTAAGACATTTGCTAGTGTATTCTATTTTTGCATGAAGTAACTGTTTGAAAACATATTAAACATTTAAGAGAAGTTACTATTTACATGGTGCTATCATGTGTTTTCCCTTTGTATTCCTTATAATATCACATAGTGTTAAAATACTTGACGTAATCACTCATTGTCATAAACATTAGTATATAAATTGATACATCAATAAAAGTTGACATAAATACAGTATTGAATGAACGCATAGTTACCACCCAGATAACAAAACCAGCACCCTACAGACCTACCGTGATTCTGTGTCTCCATGTCTTCCTCCAGCAGTAATGGATGTAACTTTTCATGCATTGCAAAGTAAGTTGCACACATCAGTTGTGTTTATCCCCAGAGAACTCTTCATGGAGACTATACTCCATTGTAAAGAAGGAGATAGAGCAGAGGAGAGCATGAGTTCGAGTTCACTCATGTTCAAGTCAGATCCCAGAGAGAGAGCCAGGAAATGAGGAGAGCAGAGAAGGGGAGAAGGGACGGCACTGACGTGATTGCGTTGGTCAAGGGTGCCACTGTGATGCTGGAGCCAGGGTTCATGGGAGAGGGGACACAGAGGAAGGGAGAGGCAAGCCCTGAAAATTCAGGTTGTGGGCAACCTGGTTGTGGGAAAGTGGAAACGTGGAGCAGCAAAGCTGAGCCCTCAGTATGTGTGGAAGATGCAGGAAGGTGTGGCGCAGGTGTAGGCACTACTGGGGTGTGGATATGAGGATGAAAGTGGAGCCTGGGTTGCAATGCAGGCGTGAGCAGGGCCAGCTTTTCACCCTCCCCCATGGGCCAGGGCCTTGGTAAAATCTCTGGCGTTCCAAGAAACCAAGGGGGGCAGAAGAGGAGGAGAGTCAGGCTGAGAGGCTCGGGGAGAAACTCGCCCCCCACTCTGTGCACATATTTATGGTTTGACTTCGCAAAATCTCCAGGTATTAAAGAGCCACGGACAGGACTACCTTGTGGGCAACAAGCTGAGCAAGGCTGACATTCTCCTGACTGAGCTTCTGTACACTGTTGAAGAGTTTGACGCCAGTCTTCTGGCCAGCTTCCCCCTGCTGCAGGTGAGTAGTCCAGTG